TTTTTTAGGAAAAAATAAAAAGAAGTTGCTTTTTCTACTGCATATGCCCAGTCAGATTTGAGTTCAAAAACCACAGAACACTAGAAGGATCTTTTCACTGGAAATTCATTATACAACATACCACATCAGCAACTCCTCTGCTGGAGCCTTCTGCTGCAATATGGCTAAGAGTGATTTGTGTGTTACAGTGTGGTATGTTGCATGAGAATACTATGGAGATCTCACAGGCCTCACACACAGCTACAGCATGCTCAGCACAATCACATCATAATATCTAACACTATCTTGGCCTTTTTTTTCTTGTAATAGTCAAACTGTCCTGTGATCATGCTATTTTATTTGCAGAAGAATGACCAACTCAAACCTGATCCACCCAAAAACATCACCTGAAACAAAACCAAATATTCTGCTCCAAACTCCCCTAAAGCCCAGATATGTAGAAAACTTTCCACATCAATTTTCTATAACCGAGAGACCCAATTCTGCTCACTGTTATGATTTTACTGACTACAGTCAAGTTTTTCATGATTTATATTCTCTCAGTGTAAGATCAGTCTCAGCAGTGAGCTTAAAAATGATGAAACAAAACTTCTGTTTAAAAAACCAAAAGTAATTCTAAATAGATTAAAAATTCTTTCCTTTAAATTCCTGAATGATAGGATTCTGAAATGAACGGCATTCATGTGTCAGTATAATCCCATCTGCCAGTGACAACTAGTTGAAAGTCCACACAGTATTTCATACCACATCATGTAGCAGTGGTTTTGTTTTTACTTTAGAAAGGAAGGTTTGTTATAAAGAAATCTAACAGGAAGCTGAGTTACACAAACTGTTGAATGGCTTGGATTGATTGCTCTCTACTTAGACAAAGTGAAGTGGCATCTTTGGTTACAAGGAACCTAGGTCCTGATACCACACTTTATGTGAGATATTGCCTGTTCTTCACTGTAATACCTATCACAGTCATGCTGGGATATTGGATTTCTATGAATCCAAGGATAAAAAGTGCCCCCATTTCCAAGTCACTACTTATTATTGCTTTGCCATACCTGTTAATTTGTTTCAAAAGATGTAAAAATAGGAATGAAATGAGATCAGAGTTAAATTCTAGTACAATGTTAAACTACCACGTAGTATAACATACTTCCCTATATTGCAAGCACAAGACATTGAATCAAGACTGTACTTCAGACTGAGGCAGTTTCAAGTATTTTCAATAACAAAGACTGGTGCAGAGAAAACTCTACTCTGAAGCAAAGACCAAACATCCAAGCCACTGTTCTTTTTGGCTCGGGTGTTTTAACATGATCATGCTTCTTAGCATTAAAGTTGAATCACTTCTTTAAAACTGAAGTAAAGTCCTAACTTTTAATGAAGTCATGATTATTTTAAATTTCCTGTTTAGGGTGATGAACCTGTAAAGATCATCTCTGTGATGACAACCACAGAGTAACATTTTAAGAGTAATATCTCCCATGCTCACAATGCCCCTACTAAAACTTGTCCAAGTTTCTCAGGTGGGCAGCAGCCTTCCTCCCCCATCAAGTAGTAACTCCACATATTTAATTATCTGCTTGTCCTCCATCAGTACAAAACCCAGTGACTTCATACATTTCTCCAAACGCAACGCAGCTACATTCACCAAATCCCATTTTATGACTGTTTTACCAGAAAGGAAGAGAAAAAAAATTATCAACATTAAAAAAATTACGTATTGCAAGAAAAATATTAAATATGGGTCAGTGACTAATGGGACTCCAGCTTGAAACATGCCAAGCCCTAACTTCCACTAGTTTTGAAAATAAAAAATATTAAAGAATCTAAAATCAAAGGCTGAATACTGAAATGGACTATCTACTGCCTCAGACTGTGGCTATAGACAACCCTGAAAACTATACTTCCAGATCTCACAGAATCCTAGCAAATTTCTCTACCTTTCACAAAGTTTCAGCATTGCAGTGTGGGGTGCGAGGCATAAATGGAACATATCCATAAGTCACATTGTTCTCCCATGAGAGAACGTCCATGGCCAGAGACTCTTTGTGTATTCTCTCACTTGCTCAAAATGTCTGTGCTAAGCATAAAAAATTATGTCATAGTTTGGTCAATGCAGAGATACTATTAGCTTTCCTTTTGCAAAGGTATTTCCTTTGCCTGTCAGAAAATCTGTCACATTTACCTTTGAAGCAAAGTTACATTGGTCAATTCCCTATGGAGCACTCGCTTTTCATTAATAATTTCAAACATTCTCACTATCTATCTCATCTATGGGAACACCACTACTTGGCCTCTGGAGATCATATTATTTGGATTCCTTCGGTACTACTTTATTGTGACTAGAATAATTAACTTCTGGCATAATTGTTACTAATGACTGGACTCTCTGCCCAGGCACTGTGTCACAGCAGAGACACTGGAGGGAATTCTCGGCACTGTTACTGGTTTTGCCCCAGTGCTCTGGCAGAGAGCAGGGGAATGTCTGTGAAGTGTAAAACCAGCCCCTGTGACTCTATACAACCATAGCTGTGTGTGCAGTTTGGCCATACTGCTCAGTCTTTCTTGGCCCAGTGAGAAGGTTTTCGATGTGAAAAAGAGGCTTTTGTTTCTGTATTAATTACAGAGTATAGTCTTTGCATTATTTTTGTGGAAATTTCCTTCTCTATTCTTCCTTTGCCAATCTGTTATTAAGAACAGGCAGCCTGTGCTATTAGATAGCCAGCTAACAAAATTTGAGAGAATAGACTGCTTGATTAATACAGAAACATGCAAACTTGTATCAACCATTTTGTCCTTTTGTGTTCTGTCCCCTCTTGACTGAACTAGAGCCTCATCTACTAAGGCCTCAAGACAAATAAGCAGCCTGTCCTTCCTTTTGTGTTTAAGCCTGCACACAGACTTCCTCCTCAAGCAAACACCAACACTGCTTCATAACAGGGTCATGGACCAGTAGAGAAACCTGTCACATTCCCTTCCCCACTGGCCTCTGTATTTTAGGCCCAAGCACCACCAAGCTGATAGACTAGTGCTGTCCGTAATGTAACTTACAGAGAATTAAAAATCAGTCTCTAACATTGCAGAATAGTGTTCTCATATGAAAAATAACAGCCTTTGCATTGTTTGGACCACCTAGTGGGCAGCTTTTTAGTGTGAATAAAAGTTAATGTAGTATCACCCTACATTGTAAAGCACACATATTTTTATATGTGATTTCTTATTCCAAAGAGATATTTCCTATTTCACTTGCTTTTCACAGTAGGTGAAGAATACTATCTGCTTAAAAATGTACTTCATACATTAAGGCTGAATACAGACTAAGCACCAGGTGAAAGCATATACATCTCTGAATGCAAGCCATGCTTTTGAAAGCACCCAAAGAAGTTATTATTCTTCAGGTTTACTTCCTTAATAGTTATTCATTGAAGTGTAATTTATATGATCATCTATCTGAATATTTTCATGTGTAACTAGGAAACTCCTTCTCTGCATTTACATGATTATTCATTTAAACATAGGTGTTATCTTCAATAGTTCAGATCAATGTTGCATTTATCTCCTCTTGAAATTTTATCCTTCTATTATTTCACATTTTTGAAGATGCTCTGAATTACTGGGTAATGGCTCTGAATCATGTTTGCTAAGGGCATAATTCTGCCAGTTTTACTCTAATTGTTTTACCTCAGACACAATGTCTTTGATTTCAAGGAGACCAGTTGCAGGGTAACATACAATATGCAGTGAGAGTAAAGATGATGGATTTGGGCCCTGACTGCTTCCCTCAAGAGGATTTGCTGCAATGAAGATATTTTTGTTTGACAGGTTTATTGTTTAACATGCAATAATTTAAGATAGTAATGCAAACTTCCCCTGCAGTCCCACACTATGGATTCAAAACCCATATGGACTGAAATGCATGAAGAGGGAATAATGGATTTTTCAGTCTGCTCTGTTTAAATACTATTCTCTTTTTAGCATGGAAAGCACATTATGCCTGTTTAAAAGAGGAAAAACATTGAATTTGCATTATTTCCCGTAACAGAACTTTCTATAAATACCTATCTTCTTACCTTTACACTGTAAATTGTTTTACTGAACTCCGTAAAATTTAAACACATAAATTGCTTAATTAGGGCTTAATTATTAACAGAAATATTTGTAGATTTACGAGATGAAAGGTGTGCCATTAAATAAATAAACAGTAATGTAAATAGCATGTTATAATAAACAACTAATTTTCAGTATTAACCTGGAAATTAATTTATTATCATATATATTTTGGCTCTGGTTACAGATATCACATTATCAACCTACTTCATCTTAAATTGTGGATGCTATTCTACAGTCTAGTAATAAAGTCTGTATTCATGGATTTGTAAAGACAGGATGATGATAAAACTAACGATAGGAGAAAAGTATTCTGACAGGTAATGATTTCCTGGAATATCCAAAGAGAAACCAGGTAAAACTCAAAAAATGTCAAAATGTTTACCTTTAAGTTTTTGAACTCTTGTTGAACATGGCAAAAATAACACAATAGCAAATAAACTAAAAAAAATGCACTGCACAGATTGTAGAATTATTGCAGATGTTCCAGTGTTGTCAGCTGAATCTTTGTGTATGTGAACAAACTAGTCATCTTTCATTCTGCCAAACATGAGAGGTTTCACTACCATCTTTAACTTCTGAGGTTGGAAGGCAAAGGAAAGCTGAAGCTCTTGAAGGTCAATTTGATTTCATTAAAAGGGTATTTTAGGATTAGTAATGACACTTTAAATAGAAGGTGTATTTTAAAAATAATTTTGCTTTTGCCTCTGTAATACAGATACGTAGGGGCTTTTCATATTTCCAGAGTGAAAATGTGTAGAAGTTTTTCCCTTTATGTTTCCTGCCTTTCAAGGGCTTGTTAAAGGATCTCATCAATATATAAAGCAAGTTACATGCTGGAAACATAGAGGTTATAAGCAGTAAACAAAATATCTCTGCTATTTTATTCTATTTCTTACCTTCTTTTTTACAGGATGTCAAGAGACTTGACAACTGATGGTCTGCAACTGTCTGGGATTGGCTAATTGATTGTGAATCATTCATTTCAAATGAATGTTTTAGAATAAATGGAGAAGCAGAAATCTCATCCAAATTATTCTGGAATAAAGAATGCTTGTTTAGGCACATAAGAAATGTATTGATTCCACTTGCTCATGATAACTTACAGCTGTGATCTCATAGAGAGCAACTTGTTATTTACAAAGACTCTGAAATGTCTAATGCTAGATTTAAGTTACACAAGATTCTTGTGGATTTCAGCAATACAGACTTAGCACCCATGTCACAAACATTTGTTTACTTTTTCCATTTAACTTATTTATCCCCTTTCCTCATGCAGTTAAATCATAGCATGCACTGTATGCTGATTTCCTCTCATAGTTAATTTGTATCTTTAGAAAAAAGCTATAGGAAGGTATTAATCTGCTTAACATTTCTAAGTACATCATCCAAGGGATTTTGTTTTTTTAATCTTACATATGCTCAGCAGAGTTACTGGCAAAAACTGTACATTTTCTCCATTTCATCCTTTCAACATCAAATGGTAAGCAGCAAAAATTGGATCAGACTTCAAAGACTATGCTGTGCTCCAAGTCACAGAGCGACTCCTCCATTTCACATATTGAATTCGAGCAGGATATCAAAGTGCTACCAAAGAACCTCAGGTCCTTACTAAAAAAGAGTCTCTAACATCTGTAGAAAGTGAAGTGCACAGACAAATCACCTCAGGGAGCAGCTAGCATTTATTCTCAGCAGCAAATTTCCAGCCTTTTGATTCTCTTATTCACTGTACCTCCCTGTCTCTCTACAGAACTAAAGTTCTTAGCAAGCAGGCTTTTGTCTCAAAGACTTCAAAACATCACTAACGGTTTCATGTTCAGATGGCTATGCCAAGCAGCCACGAACACATTGCAGAACTGTGGACTCAGAAATTTGAAGTTATAATGGGATGTTGTTTTAGAATATAAACTTAGTAGTACCTTTTTAGTTTGTTTGTCAAGAAAATCAGGCACCACGGGAGAAGACTGGTTACTGGTTTGCTGCCTAAAAGAAAAAAAAAATCTAGTTTAAATATTGTCATTTCTTCACTATTATAAAAGGTTTACTGGCATACACACTTTTGTGGTTGATTTTCCCTTTTCCCCCTCCCCCAATTTCTAAATATGCACGTACAATCAATTCAGAAAAAAAACAGACCAGTCCCATTTCCTCTTATAAGAAAGTGTATACTGTTAAACACAGCAGCAGGTTATGAGCAATGAATTTGCCATTAAAATTTTGTGGGTCTGTGCAGATGTGTAAAATGAGTTTATGAGAATTTAATGAAATTGAAGTAATGTATTAATTTGCTAAGATTTTACATGAAATATTTTTTCCCAGGTCTGTGAAAAGCTGTTTTCACAGAATTCAAAGTTAAACACTCAAAATTTGATGGATGAAGAAGAAGTGAAACACATGTGTTCTCCTAAAGCCATTTGGGTTAAAGACAGAGCAAGAAGATGTCTTAGATTCTTTTCTCTATATCTGTTACTATTTTACCATCACATTATGTCACCATAAAAATATTAAAGGCCAACTCCTACTTCATTAATGCCGATTAAAGTAACATAAAAATCTTCTTCAGGCCGTGATCCTCACTGTCAGGCCTTTGAAGTCAATGGATTTCTCCAACAGTGAAGTCCACCCAAACAGAACTTGTTTCAGAATCTTTAGCTAGGCAATACCAAAAAATGATGCCACCAATTTCATTTAGTGGATTAAAAAAAAATGAGGTTCATAGAAATTATTTGGTATGCTCAAGGTCCTCAAACTGGGATTAAAACAGACCTTTTCATTGTCAAAATAGAATGATGTTCATAAACATGGTAAGCATCCACCTTTTCTGTAATGTTGCAATTTCATGAGGGAACTTTGGACTTGCATGTCAGATTAGGGAAATTTAAGTTCCCATTTTTTTCTTTGACACAAAGAAAGAGAAGAAAAGCATTCTCCCTAAAATGTAAATTGAATTTAAACTTCTGTTTTCCTTGGAGGAAATGAAGGAATCCATTTTAGAAATGCATTATCATTTAGTACTGGTACACTTCTTAAAGTGGAAAGTATAACATATGCCTAGGACTGTATTTGATACTGCATATGTGCATATGCCATATTGTCTAAAGTTATCTTATACCCTAAAATTCTTTATTACTATCTATCTTGTACACATATTACTTAGATAACAATTTATTTAGTGGGACTGGTTAGATAACTTGCCACTTTTCCCAAAAAATTCCTCAAGCATTGTGATTATGCACTCCCCTTTTCTCCAGTGTTTCTGAAAATAAATCAAATACGAGGTAAAAATGATGAATAATCCTCTAATATCACTGTGGTGTATGTCAAAATCAAAATTTGCTGTCAGATCAGTATGTTGCAAATGGTCTACAATGTCAAAAGTAGACTGAATTATCATATAAATTTAAATATTCAGATTTGGTGGTGGTTTGGATCTGGATCTAAATAAGCAGCATGAAAATAATCTCTGTCATCTGCTAAAAAAATCCACAACTTTGCTATGGTCAGAACCTTGTATAATTGTTAAAAGCACAAAGGTAAAAATCAGCAACTTGCCTTCTGTACAGCTTAAGCTAGCAAAAATCAGCCTCTGGAATCTGGAAGATCTTAACCCCAACTCTGCTAGGATCCTAGTGATGCCTTGTTCCTGACTTAAAAAATCCTGTATTGGGTTGTATTTGCTGCAAGGGCGCCCATCCTTCCACAGAATTACTGTTGCTACCAGAAGTATGCAATTGATTACTAGCTGTTACTCATGAGCTTTTCATCGCATTTTTCTTCCCCTGTCCTGGTAAAATGGGGAATGGCAGAATGGCTTGGTGGGCACCTGGCAACCAGCTAAGGTCAACCCACCACAATCTTAAACTGGCAGGGAACACTTCTGAAAACATGGTATCAACTGCAGATCTGAGTTCATGTGCCTGGTTTCAGTCAGGCAACTCAACAATTTGCTGCTGACTGTTCAGCTACTGAGCTATAATACGCCTCAGTCTTCACATATAGGCTGTAAATCACTCAATTGTCTATAAATCACTCCATTAGCAAGAAACATTGGAAAAAGAGAGAAACATTGATTCTTAAGGTCTGTCTACACATCTGTATACTGTATAGACTCACTATCCTTAGCACTGAATGCAGTTGAACCATAGCAACATAAATCTAGTAGCGGAGATTATCTTACACTGGAGAAAAAATATCTAGTTTTGGAGATATTCTGGCCTTTATAAGTACAAATAATGGCACTTTTACTTTCATTATTTAACCGCATTTGAAAATGTTAGAAACACTACTAGATATTCTACTAGAAGTAATACAGTTCATTTTGCAAAACAAGTATTTTATAGAACGGAACAAATTCAATCCTTCCAGTGCACGTAGATGAAAAATTGCAAAGAGGTGGGAAGGAGGAAAAAAACAGATGACACTGGAAAATTGTGCCCAAATTCCCACTGAAACCTTTAAAATTTTTGAGTAACTAAAGTTATGAACGCTAAAGTAATTAGAAGCTCACATGACATCAGAATCAGGCCCATGGATTCTACTGCATGCCGTAAGGATTGCAGACTTCCTATTTCCATCACAAGCAATAATCCTAATGTTTGCTATGATTAAAAATAGGAAAGTGAAGCTATTAAAGGAAACTAGAATGTCTTTATATTAGCTTTTCTTCCAGAACAGAATGAAAATTCATTTTCAAAAGATGACTTATACAAGAAATTTCAATGTGATCTTGACAGAAACTGAAATCACCCAAGGAGAAAGTATGGGAAAGGTGTAGGGAATAAATCACCAGGACCCAATGACATTCTTCTGAATATCCTGAAAAAAACAGTTTTAAAATGTAGAGATGTGACCCTTTCAATCAGCTCTCCATGAAGAATAGAAACACATCAACATAGTGATAATTGTTCTTTTCCTTTTAATCTAAAGAATTCTTGGAAGGTTTTGTTATTGACTAACAGAGTGAACCTCACTTTAGTGAGAGGCAGGCTGCAGATCAAATCAAAGAAACCACAGCAAAAGACAGAAGAGCTTTTATATGAAACAGGAGAATTCACATGAAACCAGTTTCTGAATAAATGTGTGCTCATGTGACTGAAATAGGGTTTAATGTGTGCTCTCAGTGATACACAGGATACTGTAGTTATGTGTTAATCCAGCAGTGCCCATGCAGGTTAATTCACATTGCATGCTGTTTCAATAGCTCCAGCTGTAGCAGACCATTGAGAAATGAATCTCACTCATTTTTCAGGCGCAGCAACAATGCCACTGCAAGTAAAGCAGACACATGGAGAATTCCTCCAGATCAATTTCTATACTTACTCCCCATACTGATGCAGGAACAGCTGGTGGCACTACGATGCTATAAAAGCTGGCTTGCAATGCCCAAACCCACTGGCACAGATGTGTTACAATTCAGGAAGCCACTGCGCATTTACAAATCATAAAAAAATCTTGAGAAATCATCTAAGTCACCCCCATTTCCAGAGAAAAATCAGTTAAGCCTTTTTCCACACCTCCCCCCCCGCCTACATATGCTTAACCTGATTTTAAAAACCTGCAGTGATGGAGCAGTCAAAATTCCCCAAGGTAACTGACACAGGGTTTAACTCAGCTTACCATCAGTAAGCTTTTCTTGACATCTAACCTAATATTCTCGTCCTGCAATTATTTCTCTCTGATTTCCAACTGAGAACAGTTTGTTTGTTTTCACATCAGCTTTCTATGACTGGATAAATGATATCATATGACCCTTAGTTTTTCATCTCCCTTAGACATCTTCCTTTACCATGGTTTATAGAGAGATGTGATCACTTTCATTGCCAAAGGACTCGCTAATTTTCTTCAAGGGAAGTCTCTAATATACTACCTTAACCAAGTCTTGACAGTGATGGGAATCTATTATGATGCACATGTGAGTTGAATGTATCCTCACTGCTAGTAAACCTCCCAATGTAAACTTTGGAGCTCTACTGTGGTTCATTAACTTTGTGTAACTGTTTCTAATTTAAAACCTACACTCACAAGCCCTTGTACCACCACTCACTTAGTACTGATACAAATTTAATAACAGATTCTGCTTCATCAGTCAAGCCATTAGTGAGCAGAAAGACACCCATTTCTAGAACTTGACTTTCACATGCATACTTTCCGTCGAAAAGAAAAATGCTGATTATTATTCTCTGTCTACAATTACTTAAACATCTAACTTGGTCTGCCTGTATAGCTTTGTACAGACTTTATTATATAAACTTGATTCTCTATGGCTCATGTGAATGTCACACATTTTATTAAAAAGAATGTTTTTTGAGAACCTAAGCTGACCAAAGCCTGAACATGATACCAAATAGCTAAAAAGAGAAAGATACAAGGGAAAAAAATCACAATAAACTCAGTTCAAGAGTGTGAACTGGTGTTGATGTCAGGTATCTTCTACCCATAACACATAAAGCCCCAAAGGAAACCAAGGAGCAAGGGATACTCACTGACACAGTTATAGTCACAGACCCAGCTGATGTGTAACTAAGTCACTACATGGAAACAATGCTTTCTTCTATACAACATAGTATAATGGCACTGATTGTGTACATGTAGCTAACTTATATTTTGATGTTTAGCAGTACAGTGAGCTAGAAGAAAAATTAACAATACAGTAAGTGTTTTCCAGGGGAAGTATCAGATCAGTATTATTTAACATAATTTACATTTGGGAAGGAAATGGAAAAGATGACGATGGTGGAATATGCAGGTTACAGGTACTTTGATGTGGTTCTAAAGGGATTTACAGATATTTAAGAATGACAGCTCTGTCTAAACAAGAAGATGAACAAAGTAGCATAGATTAAGGTCCTTAGTTACTGAAATGTAGATTTTCTTGCTAATCAAGAACATTTACGAAAAATACATTGACTAGAGATCTGTCAATATAACAAGTTCAAATCAAATGATATTTTAGAAAAGTACTTCTTACTTCTCCATAAATGATGCCTAATTAGCTCAAAAGATTCCTGATATTAACTTGGAATTTTAGCTATGCCATTGCAAAATACAACACTTTTGATTTCTGCAATGATCAACTGCAAAATGGAGGCAGTCATTAAGTAAGGTTGGTGTCTGTGCTCTTCTTGTAGAGAGGAGACCCCATCACACTCCTCCCTTCTCTGCTGCCTATTCAGTTCTGTACAGAATGGTAAATCTGCTATTCAGCTGTTGTAAAAATGTCTCAGAAAGGTTTTGACTTTCCTCATTTGAACCACGTTTGACTCATGTCTTGATCATGTTTGACTTCAAAATAACTGCCCCTTTTAAGGTTTGATTGTGATTCAGTTCTCAATGCCACACAGGACTGCAGGTTTCTCTTAGTGGCTGATGATATCAAGAAAAGGCTTAGCAAGTGTTTCATACATGCATAGCTTTTGGGGAATAATTACAACTTGGTGTCAGCTTCCCAGGTGCACAATTATTCCCAGGATCCTGTTTCAGCAGGAGTCACAGACACTTTCAAAGCTTTGTGGAACTGAATGGAAAAACGTTTTTTTCAATGAGGCAAAGCCACTTCCCTGCTAACATTTACATTATCTATTTCTACTCCAGAGATATTTGCCAACTCTCAATGCGTCCTTAGTTACCTGTGACATCAGCTTTGCATTTAACTTGATTACCAAGTCAAGCACATAAATGCATGAAACATTTTAACATGTAATGCTAAATGAACAAATGTGTGCATTTAATTAGTAATCCATGTCATTTATTAGCTTCAGTTGGCTTATGTCCTGCATTCACTGACTGAAGAGCACGAACTAGGTGTAGAGATTCAATTTCTTCTATGGAATTAATCTTTTTTTTTTTAAGTGCTCATTAGAACAGAACACTTTGAAATTCACAACTTAATAAACCTGAGTGCCTTACATATAACACTATAACTCAGCTTTTAAACAGATCTTTAAAAGAGCAGCAGGTTGCCATACATTTAACTGCAAAGTTATACTCCTCTGCATACAACAGGACTGTGTGTCATTTTTCTTTCTAATCCCAAGTACCTTTAAGCTCATTTCTCATTTTCCTAAACTACCAGTTAGGGAAAAAAAAAGAAAAAGAAATAAAAGGAAAAGAAATTAGAATAAATGAAAGAAAATAAAGAGAAAATAGTATTTTATTTTCTATACTTTGGTTCCACAGTATGTGAAGCCACAGTGAGGCTGCCTTCTCTAGGGTCAGATTATCATCTACTGTGTTATGCATCTGCACCTTTCTGTTTCCTACAAGTTTCCTGTATGGCCAAACAGCCATGTACTTAAAACAACAGCCCAGTAACGTGAAAAAGTGATGCTTGATTTATGAGAACTAAGTTATTAGTTCTTAGTCCCAGGGTTCTGAACGTTACCTGTGAAATGCTGACATTTTCAAGTCTTGCTGAAACTATTGGAACCTGAGGCCGTTGCTGAGAAATGTATGGGATTAGGAAAATGTGCAGTATTTGTAAGGGTTAAATGAAGAACTGCCAGCAGGAATGGCAGTTTCCCAGCTCCAGGCAACTTATTTATCTATCTCACTGTAAACTGCAACCAGAACTGGTTTTGAATTACCAATGTATTTTACATGGGCATCTTCAGGTCAGATATCTAAATGCATTTAGACACTGATTTCAGTGTAAGTTTGGTGGCCAAATATCTTTAAAGGCTGTATATATAGGCTTCACAGAGCCCAAATTCATCTCAAGAGTAACCAAATCATAAATCTCTGTGAGCCTCAAAAGATGTACAATTAAGCCAAGTTGTACCAAATCCAAATGCATTTGTTTGGTGAGTAACAAAGAATTCCAGAGACATTTTAATGCAAAAAATGGAAGAAAACCATTCCTATACATGAAATAAATGAATAAAAAGTTTAAAGAGGCTCTGTGCCTCCAAACAGGTATAGGTAAAAAATCTATTTACATTGTAAATAATTATAATTCTAGATGCCAAAGAAAACTGACACTAGAGATCTTATTAGCTCTTGCTTTCAACCATCAGTGCAGACTGGAGAACAAATGAACACGTGATCATCAATAGTCCTAAAGAGATCACAAGATACACACCCCTTAAAGACTTAAAGAAACAGAAGGTGCTGCATGTGCATGAAGGGAATCATAAATTAGGAATCTTATTCCCCAGTGGGCAGTCAAGCAACCCCAAAACAGAGCTATGATGGTAAAATGCAGTGGCTTGTTTTTTTATCTGAAAATAATTACCAAAACTATTTGTTTATTTATTTAGCCCTTGTCCAATGGCCTGAATCTTTTTCTTGCTGAAACAGAATATTTGATTCAAGGGAAAGATTCTGGAGCAAGAATGCAGGTGGTTACACCTGAACAAAATTCTATAATAATGCTCTAGGGCATGTAGCAGAGTTAGCATGGAAGTTAATAAAACTCAGTGCTGTGAGCATACACAGAAAAAGAAATAACCACTAACTTCTCCAGAATGGTTTCAGCAGGAGAGACCTTGTAACTCTCAGTCACTGAAACTAATGAGAAGGATTAGTCCTACAAATGCAGCCTGTCCTAGAACAATGTTGGTGAGTCAGATGTAACAGATGCCTTTTGCCTGTCATACCCAAGGAAGTGTCAAGAGTAGATTTGTCTGGAGTGAATCCATTGCTTAAAGTGGTAAAATACCTTTTCTATTCAAAACAGAGAGCACCACTATGGTTTACAGCATTCCTAGGCTTTCTGTCAGTGACTTGTCTATCTGCTCTTGACAGCTCTTTTCCCTGTCTTGTTGCTGGTCTGTGTGGAGCTTTATAGGCACAGAAGGGTAACTTTCTACTCTTGGACATTTAATAACATGCACTGCAGTGAATGCTGAAATGCTGAGCACTTGCAATTTTGTCTGCAATCTACAGTATTCTGGGCACTTACAAAAAGTGCACAAAAATAGGACAGCAACCAAGCGCCAACAGCACCTTTCCACTAACTGGCAAATCACCAAGATGACTAAGCTCATCTAAGAGAGAGAACTTGCTAACCTACAGGTGGTCATCCTCAGAATGTAGCAGATTTTCTAAGAGCTGGCTGAATCATGATGACAAATCTGCTACTTTCAGTTCTTATTGTGTGGGAAATAACTTTTGTGAAAGAATATATAGCAAAGAACTCAACTCACCAGTCTTCTCCATAGCCAAAATCAGAAGTAGAGCAGCTGCTTGTAAGCTGAGGATCCGCTACACTCTCAGTGCTGTTTTTCAATCTTGTGTAGTTTTTACGAACAATATATCCCCTAAAAGCTGAAAAACATAGTTTTGAATCAGAAAGATTCTGGAGAAACTGAAACTGTCTCTGCAACACAGACCTGAATGTCTCCAGCTTTCACTGAATTAGTGCATTAGTGAATTAGAACACTTAGTACCCCACAGGAATGACTCCAGTGTTTGCAATGTTACCAACACCTGGAAGTTCTATGATGCCTTACACTCTCACTGTTGACCACTTGGCACAGTCCAGTCAAGGAAAACAGGCCCTGCTCCCCTCCCAGAAAAGTGTCTAATTCAAACAGGAATCCAACTCAGAACATATTAAAATAAAATCACTCCCAAAACAACTTCTTTAATCACAACTTCTCTATGAAATAGTCATAATTTTGCTGAATCAGAGCTTTACTTTCTTTTATTATGGGACAGTGGGGTGAGGAGCTGGGGACAAATATATTCACTTACAGTCTTCTCCTATTTTTTCAATTAACTGTAACCATAAACAAACATTTAAAATACCTCTTATAAAAACAGGGAAAAAATTATAGACAGTAGAATTTATACTATTCCTAAAAAAAAAAAAAGCAGAAAAATAATAATCACAAAAAATACTAAATAAAGAAGGAGGCATATAGTGGAATGTCATGGTAAAGAAAATGACAATTAATAATATTTTGAGGATATCTACATCCTTTCTTTTCATATACTGTCTCAGAGTTTGGGTACCTGAATACCATAATTATTTCTATAGTTTTATCTTGAATTTTTTGCATCTGTGAGCAGTAATAAAGCACCAGCACAAAGCACAGATAGTGATACATACTGCACTTAGGACAATGGACTAAAAAGGTTGCAATATACACTTAAACTCACAAAATCTTAGATTTTATTTTTGTAGGGTTTATTTCAAGCATTATTTTAAGTAGAAATATGTAGGGGGAGAAAGGACTGAATAATGAAAAAATAAATTCAGCGTCAGTGCCATTCAGTGAAATTCAGTTTCAGTGTACAATAAGCAGCTGCTGAATACGGCTGAGGGTTGTGAGAGAAAGGAGCTGTGTATTAGTCAAGCAGGACTGCAGTTTAAGCAGTGAGACAACATGAAAAAGGGTAGTGGAACTGAGCTGAGGAGATATTATGATTTTTGAAAAATATGTTTCCTATCCAGGAAAAGCTTTTACGCACACTAGATGCATACAAACCAGGGTCATTCTGAAGACTAAATACCCAAAGGAGAAGAGCAGCCCTCTCATTGGCGTCCAGGGTTACATATTACAAGCACAGATAGGCACAGAAATAAGGTCTATGGCAACCTCATGTAGGATCAGGGTCATGGTAACATTGTTGATTACCACAGGAAATCAGGAGGTAGGATAAATACCGAGTAAACTGAAGAACAGAGAAATTGATCAGAAGATTATCAATATTTCTCTGTACCTCACACTTCTGATTTTTATGAGCACTGAGGTTTCTGGGATAAGAAGCAACAAAAAATGCCTCTTAATGAGAGGTTATGAAAATAAACAACCATTCAGTTTACAGAAAGCATGACAGAAGTCTGGCCTGCTGAGGTGTTGAACCAAATACAGAGCTCAGGTATCATGAGGCATGAGCAACTTTCTTCCATTAATAATCAGATTAGGAAAGTCTGCCTATCTGTCAGAGATGAGGCAAACTCTCTCTTGTCCCGTGTGATCAGGCTTCCAATCCTTAACTATCCCCTACTGACCAGACAAGGATGCTACTCTGCTATCAGCAGCAGGGACAGCTTGCCAGCAGTCACCTCTCTGCAGCTGAAACATGCTGTCAGTTAGTTGAAGAACCACTACACAGAAGTGCTGAAACAAATGAACTGATAAGATAAACTTCAGTTTTATCCTTAGTAGTTTCTCAGTTTTTTGCTAATTCCTGGCATGTGTGTCTATAAAATCAACCCTGATACTTGCTGTGATTTTATATTTAAATATTGCTTTTCCTATTTCTCAGAGTCTCTTACTAATGTTAGTACAACCATTTTGGTCTTTGCCCCATTCACTATGTAAAAATCTGCTATATCTGATTTAATAAATATAGTTTTTTCCCTAGCTTCTGTTTTCATAGGTATTTTCAAGATCAACTGCTCTTCAACATAACCTTCCCACAAGATGGTTTCTAACTTTCTTCCAAATTACCTTGAATCTGAAATGTAAATGGCTGTATTTATCCTACTTCTGAGTAATAGAACAACTGAAGTACAGGGTAAACAAACTTCATTAAATCTCTCAAAAGCTTCACCAAACACTAGTAGGACTGCATCTTTTCAACATTTATTAACAGGATCTATAATGTTTCAAAAGAAATGCATATGCACAGAATTCTACTGGGGGAGTCTGAGAGGGTGGGAAGCTGTTCCATCACAGCAATTTGCATTACTGACTGGTGCTGGTTTTGACACTAAGCACTTGGCTCAAAGAGTGTGAAATTAGCAGACTCATGTTGCTACTGCTCCATGAACAATCACTGCATCATTGAAGAAGAATGATTACCAGCTGTCACCTCATTTTCACCTTATTCAGTCTATATTCCAAACTTTCCAGCAACAGTAGTTTTAACCCTGATCTTTACATAGCCAAAGATGACAGGATCTGAAAAGCAATATAGGAACTGTACTTAATTTTAACACCTCTATTAGTAACTTGGTGTTAAATGCTTTATATGCCACAAATTACAACATGAATTTTTACTTCTTGTACTGAAAATTTCTCACACAAAGAGAGTTTACTTTCAGCTTCAGCACCTAGCAAACCAAGAACCTGTTTATCTCAGGGAGTCTGAGATTTGGCATCTTGAAGTTACAAACTTTTAAGGTCTAAATACCAAGGCAATATACATTACACACAGTATTTCACAATTCCAGATAGGAAAAGCCCAGGCATTTTCCTTCTGATTCCCACAGGAAATATATAATTACAGAGCAAATTGTGAAGCACAGTGTCAAAAGATCAAAGCTAAACAATCACAGGTCTATGAGAGAACTATAAAGAAAGGAGATGAAGTAGTTTTAAAACGGTAGAAGGATTAATTCTCAGTCATTAAAAAAAATCATATGAAGCAGACTTTTTCAACACATACATATTTTTATTCTGTAACATCACCAAAAATAGCATATAACAGCAGCTCAGAAGAGAAAGCTCATGCTTGCTAAGGAGAAGGTAGTTGACTTGCTAGGAACAGCACATAATTTTCTTAATTTGTCTAGTTAAAGAACATTCAGCAACTTAACTAACAGCATCTGAGAGAAATTAGAGCCCATGAATCTGATTATTCATTCCATGCCAAATTAATTCCAATGAGCAGTAGAAGGCATAGAGTCACATCCTTTGTTGTGAGCCATGAATACATCCCCTCTTTCACCTCTCTAGATGGATATTGGGTGATACATGTTTAATAGCAGAAAAAATCTCCTAAGTTCTCCAGCAGTAGCATTATGAGAAGGAAGTTATGAATTCTCATGTACAAGCAGTAATAATCAGTAACAAACAGTGACTATTAGCAAGACTCACTGAGGCTGTCATCTGGTCTGATGTTGAGCACAGAGTTCACAGAATCACAGAATTTGCTGAGTTGGAAGAGACCAACAAGGATCATCAAGTCCAACTCCTGGCTAAGCACAGGACCATCCTGAAGAGTCACACCACATGCCTGAGAGCATTGCCCAAACACTTCTTGAACTGTGTCAGGCTTGGTGTTGTAACCACCATGTATCACTGTCTCTGATCTTGAGACTTGGTCAAATAAAAAAGTGAAGATGACTATTAAATTCTTGCAATATCAGCAAGCAAAAGGAAGATATTTTATTGTACATTGTCCCTTCCTGATTAACCATGAAATCCAGTAGGAACAGTCTCCATTTTTTCCCTCAAAATCAGGTGAAAAGTCAGACATTTGAACATTGGCAGAGCTTAGCTCAGAGATGGGGATGGAATATAAACCCCTATACTTTAAAATTATAAGGCCTTCTCACTTTTTTTAAAATGCTAATGAGCATTAGGCATTTAATGGCATTAGGCATTTAACTAGAGACATATTAAACATGAAGAACTATCAGATGCCATAAACTAGTACAGAACACAATGAGATGGGAGAGTAAAGTTAACCAAAGCTGTGCAGCCTGCACAAACTAATCTGGTTTACTCTGACTGTGAAATTAAGATAATATGATAAATCTGTTCAGCTCCCATTCAATGTTTTTTACACTGACAATGTAGTTAAAAGAAAGAAAACTACTGATATAAAAAAAGTAAAATGGATCTGCTGTTTAGGAGTAATTTTCAATCAAAATTTTAAGAAAACAGTTTTAGATATATTTATCAAGTGCTTAGAGGTTTTTGGAACGTTTTACTCATGTAATTCTTAGACCTATACAATGGTATTAGCTGATGTACATGTACACACACATACGTAGTAATACAAAGAGATGAATAAATATAGGAATAAATATTTTAAAAAGATTTTCTTGTCTTCCACTGAAACTTAATTTTGCTGCTGAAATTCCCAAAGGCAACACTTCAATTAAAAGCTTACATTTACCATAAATGTAAACCAGGAAATTGTAGCTCTTCTCTGTCCCTCTTTTTTTTAAAAAAAAACTAAAATGGAGTAAATTTTGCCAGAAGTACAGGTTAGAGATTTGTAAGCAATACTGCATCAGCAGAAGTTACAGAAAGAATACAATCTACAAGGGGATGCTTCCTTCTTAACACCCATCACTTTTTATTTAAGGAAAAGAGCCCAAATCTAGAGTTCTTGATAAAGAATTTTCTAATACAATAGGACATATGGTGAGTGTGTGAGCACGTGTTGGAGGAGGAGATGGTGGCTCAGTGGATTAGTCATTTGCCTTTCACCTCTGGAAGCATAGTTAAACTCAGTCTTGACCAGAGCTGCACAGTATATTCCAGATGGCTAAAGTGGACCTAATTAAAATGAATTCAGTGATGTCACCTCAGATCTAAATGAATTGCATGCACCACTCATTTGGCATTTTGGCAATGTCAGTTCACAAATAAAATCACCAGATTAAAATCCTCCCTTAAGTCTTTTGGGACAAGTCACACTGCATGGAAATACATGCTATCATAACTAGAAAACATACTTTCATAATTGTATTATCTGTTGCTTTTAATTATAATTATTTCTAAATTCTAATTATTCTAAAATAAACATTTAATGAGATTTGCATGTGAGGTAAATCCATGAAGGAACATTTCAGTCAAATGATTCAGCGGATATACACTGATTTAAACCAGCTGTGAATCTGGCAAAATAATTTTAAAAAAATCTTTGACAATATATTTTTCCCTCTTATGTAGATGTGAATCAAAACACTGTAAATTCCAACTACAAAGAAATACTCAGAAGTGCAAAGTATTGTCAACTGAAACACTTAACACAAAATCATTCTTTAGAATTTGTTTCTGAGTTAAAACCTAGCATTTTTTAACCTTCACAGTTTGAGAAATTGTAGAAGACCTTGTTTACCCTGTGTACCAATTTAGCCATGAGTCTAATATCATCTGTATATTCTGAGAACCTGAGATGTAGATATGCTAAAGTAGGGTAGCTTTCTCTTCCCCATTTAATTCAAATTCACTAATATTTTGTTTTCTAGTGAGGGTTTCCCCCCTTCTGAAATAACAGCTTTTTTTCTTGTAATATAATACACTCAGGAATTTTATCCTCATGTATATTGTGAGGGTTGTTTTTTTTCTAAGTTTGTTTTTTCTTCCAACATTTCTTCAATGGATACTGAACTGCTGGGCCCACAGAGATCTCCAGACCACCAGCTCATGTATTTGAAAGGCATCTGTTTATTTTTAAAATGCAAATGCAGCCTACCTCAAAGACTGACTCGCAAGAAATGAACAATCTGAACAAGTCAAGAGGTTTCCAATCAGGGGCTGTGTTCCTCCTTTTTATCAGGCTATGATCACTTGCTGTCAAAACCACTTAAACAATATCCTGGAACCTGAATGAAGTCCCCCCACAATTAAAATGAGCAGGATAATCCTGCAAGAATTATTCAGGCAAATCATTTTTCACACAGTTTAAAGTAATGATAAGGTCATTTACAAAAGAAATCAGCGCCTTTGAAATGCTGACTTGTAGACAGAGGACTGCCTGGAGGAGGGCCATAGATAACAGTGAAGACTGGCCTCCTAACACTACCCTTGCAGTCTTTGGAACTGATTCTGATGAGGAGAAGGCCCAATAAGGTTAATACCCCTACTTTGATCTCTGTCAAAGCGTACCAGCAAGAATTAATTTACATTTCAGATGAAAAAGGTTGACAGCATGAAAAGGCATCTTGTTTCTGGTATGTGAATGTGCTGTAATAGATCGGGAATTCTGAAAGGAAGTTCTGAGGAAGCTAAAGGGATAAGCTGAGCGGCTGCTTTTATTGGGAAAGAGATGAAAGGAAAACAAATTTCAATATGCGCTGTTCTGTAGAAACATGTAAGCCAAATGCTTCCTAAATTCCAAGGCCTGCTTGAGTGGGGCAGGGGGGAGGGAAAGGAGAGGGAAGTACATATAGTTTAATTATATGTTTTTGCTAATGCAGATGACGAATGCAAACAATCTCACTGCCTGGAATGGCTCTTTCAAAAAAAACTACAAAGGTGACTATACTCCATTTTACTAGAAAGCTGCCTTGAACTACCCTCACACTATAAGATGTGGAGGGAAGGGAGAGATTTAGAGTATCTTTTGTCTCCATGTCACTAGGCACTTGGACTGTGTAATATTATGTAAACAACACAAAAACTGTCAGTGTATTTTAAAACCTGGAATATAGCCATTAATAGCAAGCATAAGCTTTGATTTGAAACACAGAATAATTAGCATATTGAGAAGAGAAAACCTGCACAAGAAATATTTTCAAATAAGTAGTCCTAGATATAGGTTTCCAAAGGCACACAGAAAAGTGTTGAGGACTATTATTATTATTATTATTATTATTATTATTCCTCCCATTCTACTAGAGTACCAAAGACAGGAGGAGCAGCCAGCCTAATTAACACAAAGGTTCACTGTGTCACTCTTAACCTAATGTTTACTCACTCAGGCTGATCACTGAAACAGTCAAGTACCAGGTTACAAAGGAAAACAATGTGTGTTTTGAAGAGTACTAGCAGCATTCCTCCAGCATTAGGTCCAGAGAGTTCAACAGTGTCCAAATTCACTCCCACTGCCTCTGTTCTGCCAGGTTCAACACAGTATCTAAAAGATGGCAGGAAGCAACAGAGCTCTGAATCTCTCCCATGTGTGCTAACAGCAGAATACATCAGTACTTTCTCTGAAGAGCTAAAAATCTGTCTAAATAAAACTCTAAGGCAGAATGTCCCCTGCAGTTTCCAAGTGATAATGCTACACACATGCTTCCTATTGCACCTGAAGTAACTCTCACCTTAAGGAGCTGATAATAGTGAGACAGTCATGGGTTAACTGTTTCACTTTCCTTTCTTCAGCAAAAGGTTGTTGTAATCAAAGTCCAGGTATGTATATACTTGTAAAGGTAGCAAATACTCCAGGAAGTAGTGTCAGGGGGGTACTTTAAGGTCTGCTCTCTGTGCTATCATGTAAACAACTGAAAATGACAACTCAAAGGACAGGAAGAATGGGAGAGAGTACTTGAGCAATCCTTCAGAGCTGACGAAAAATAAAAAAAAAAATTTCCATTTAATAGAATATACTGCATTTAACCCTAGAGCTTCATGATTTTACATAACAGTACTTATGCAAAGCTACAAATAATTATTTGATCCAAATGATATTCTGTTCCTTTTGGTAACTAGAACGGTATTCTGTTTTCTGCTGAAAGTCATAATGACACTTAATTTCAGAGTAGCAAACTAGATAACACAAAAATGAATTAATTTACTAGGAATGGTTTGAGAACAAGTAAAATAATATTACAAGAAATATTTTTCATATTGATTTCACACTATGAGATACAGAACAGGGGGTGACAAAGCTAAAGGAATTGTAGCACAGGAAGTTGGTAGAAGTGGTATCTTGGTTTATCTGTAAACACATTAGTTACAATCATTTTTTTATCACTCACAGTCTTTGAACCTGGAGTTGGACAGCGAAGGTGTACTGTACTGCATCATATGGAGGCTGCTTCATATTGGCAGCATCCGAAAACAGCATTGAGTTCACAGCATTCACAGTGCTGGTTCTTAGATTTCTGTGCCATATGGTACTCTGCTCTCTAGTAGAGACCTACACAGCCCTATGGGCCTGTTCCTCCAATAATCTCTTTACAGTTTATTCAAATTCATATTGATATGGCTGCATAGGAGTCTGGCAGATTGTCAAAAGATTGGTCAAAGCTGGCAAACCCAGCAAGCAGTCAAAACAAAAACCTGGCAACCTACCAAGATCAGTGCTCCAAACAAAGACAGGGAAATGCAAGTCTAGTGTCTCCCGTCCACACTTAGCCAAGAATTAACTTAACAGCTTTTAATTACTATATTTTGCTTTCAGAGAAGTACTTATAAAAGGTCCAAACTGTCACTGATGTCATTTGACACTGAAGCAAAAATAATCAGAAGTAATGTTTTTTGATAGCTTTTGTTTGGACTTCACTATTTTTTTGGGGGGGGGCTATAAACACTGACACACACAAAATTATCCACAAAAAAAATAGGTGTTGGCAATTGAAATACTGTTTTAATTACCTGCCTGAATATGTATAGCAGCATCAGTTCTTCTGTTCCTTATTTCCTTGTACTTCCTGCGAGCTTCATATCCTCTCCAGGCTAAAAATACAAAACCATGTGCTGGAAATTACATTTATTTAAGGAAGTGCTACAGAGTCTACAGGGTCAGAGATGTGCTGAAACTTTCATTTCTCCTGCCATAACTACTTCGGCCCCCACCCCCAATAGCTCTTCCCCACCCACCCACATGTTGAACTCTGGGTTCATGACTGCAGTATTCACATCCTCACAACTTCAAACACCACTTCACTCATTCAAATTTTAATTGTCACCATGTGCTCACTGATGTCCTAACCCAAAAGACAAAGGTGCGTCATCATTCTTGCTCACGCAGTTCCCCAAATCACTACAAGGAAACCTGCTAAATTACTGATAATCAGCCTCTCAGGCCCATCTTTTGATGTATATCTGGAATGCATGTGCTACTGCATTTTAATTATGTGCTGCATGTTATTATAGACATACCTAACAATATTTTCATTTTGTGCATAGGCATCATGTTCAAAATACTAAAATATTTAAATACAGACATTACCAAATGCTAAGATGCCAATTTAGAAGTAAATCAATAATGTCTGAATCAATGAGCTGGACAGAAAACATGTCCAGTCATTTAGATTTCCTAATAAACTGCAATTAATAAGTTAACAATGTAGATGCAATTTAACTGATTGAAATACAAAGACACTCAGTAAAATAGGGAATATGAACATTTACCAGACTGTATAGTAATAGCACTATTTTCTCTTTTATCTTTGACTTTCTTGTACCTCCTTGCTCCAAGCCATCCCTTGATATAAGCTTGCATGACCACCACCCTTCCTATAACTTCTCGCAGGAACAGATTTAACTGCTCTATATGGTAATACTTTAGAAAAACCTGTAATGGAACAACAACAAAACAAAAAAATCAGTATTACAATCAGTATTATAACCTCTTGTATTCTGTCTTTTCATTAGTCCTCAAGCAGTCTATTTAAGGGTGTCATTGCTGAGAAAACTAGAAAAATACTGACTGTACTTATCATAGAAATCTTGTGAATAAATTATTTGCTCTTGTGGAAATTTGTCCTTGTGGAACTTCTTTATTCCACTGATTATAATCACTCCACTGCTAACCCTGAGATTAACTTCATTGCTTAGAACGTGGTGCTAGTAACACCAAGGCTGGAATTCAACCCTTGTATGGGCCATTCACTTGGAAGCTGCCTTGATGATCCTTGTGGGTCCCTTCCAATTCAGAATATTCTGTGATCCTGTGAAAATAAATTCCACATTTATCCCCTTTACAAAGTAAATTGGATGATGGGATCTTTTCAGGTATGCACAATTTGGAAAGATGACCTTTCTGGTCAGTGGAAACACAAATCTTCAGCTGAATTTGGTTTTAGACATAATATTGTCTAAAACCGTTCTCCTTCAAAAGGCAAATCTTATGGGTGCTTGCATACATTTTATCTGGGTCTTGCGGAAGAAAATTCTCCATTTTTCATTTGTGTAATGTAAAACAACTCAAAGGACTGTGTAACATCCCTTTAAAAGAAGTTATTCACTCCATTTTAAACCATCAACAAAGGCTTTTGACAGAGCAAGAAGGAGCTTACCTGAAACTCCATGAATGGATAATGGTACCAACCAGGCTCACAGGATGGGTCAAATTGTGACGTTTCAGCTGCATCATTATTAAGAGCATGGGGAACTTCAGGAAGTCACTACATCAGTCGGCACTGATGTACTGTCCTTATCAAGACAGCCATGTGCTGAATGCACTTTGGGGAGGTACCCAATGCACCCCTTCTCTTTCAGCACTAACTCAGCTGGCTTGGGAAGGCACTTCCATAACCTGGGAAGCTAATTGGAGCAAATTCCTTGCTCTTTTGTTCATTCATGCAGTACTTTTTGAACCACTATTAGACATACTTTGTAAAAGTATACTATCCTTGAGAAGATGTTAGCACCCTCTACCTTGGTTTTCCCAAGAATCCAGTTGTCTAGTTTAGATTTCTCCAAAATGGCAAGACAGTTTTCTCTGCTACCGAGGGGAGTCTCGTGTGCCTTGAATGCAAGGTAGTAATACCTGCAAAATGACAAAGAAAGAATTAAACTGACGATCAATATGTACTTCTGCTGTTTTTCTCTAGCTCCAACCTTTGTCTCTAGAATTAACAGGCCAAATTCTTCCTTATACTCAATTGTCTTCATAAATCATGACACAGCTGTCATGAATAGATATTTGAACATATAAATTACTAGGACAAACAATTGGGATGATTACGGTCAATCTTAGGAGTCTGGAGCAGACCCATACTAAACAAGATTGTCTTCTTTTTTTGTCCATGTTCCCTTGCAAAGAACAGCTCCTAAAAATTACATTAAATAACATATAGATAATGAAAAAGCGATGCAAACATGTTTGAACTGAATTAAGAACCAATCTCTTCCTACCTATAAAGCCATTATGCATTAATGAAGACTTTTTATACTATTTAAGTAAACCTACTTGCAAACAATTACCTTAAGTAATTACAAGAATATGTGCCAGTTAGTTTACAAATTTAAGGTTATTTTAGCACAAGTACACTGTTAAATGGTAGCAACTGCCACCTCAGCTCTCACTTATTAACTACCATGTGTTGTCTTGGTATGAAGTTATACTACTAAAGGTGGTACTCTATTTACACTGGGATTGAGAGGAACTGGCAGGCTGAGCAAACCATTCTACTAATTATTAGCATGGAGAAGAGCCATCAGATGTTCTTTAAAACATGAAGAGAAGAATGTGACCAGTGAATCTCAATGACAGATTCCCTTGTAGCCACACAGAGTCAAGAAAACATCACACCTTATACAGAAGAAAAAAATGGAGAAGCAATTAGAAAATTTAGAATTCTGCAAGACTTCTGGGGTTTTTTTTAATCAAAGAGTATGATTTTCAAATATTAGTTCCAGTTAATCTCTAGATATTAGCTCCAGTTGTCACAAGAAAGAAAAAAGAACCACTAAAACAGTCAATTAAGATCAAACAGGAACAAAGTGACATCTGAAATGAGAAATACTGGAATAAGTTCTGGACTGGAGACATAGATATTCACCAACTGGAGACATTGCTGGCTCTGAATAATGACAGATTATGTATTGCTGAGTTATTTTTAATGCAGTGACTTTCTCAACAATGTGGTATTGCAAATTCTTTAGCCAAGTTTTTCAAAATATCAGCTCATGCCTTTTAGTAGGTTTGGAGAAACATGGTGTATTTAAAAGAAAAAAGTACATTTCCTCTGCCTTATTATTTAAGTTAATGATGCCAGTTTTTACAAAACAAAGAGTACTGAGTTGCAGTAATAAAACCAGATTTAAAATAAATGTATCACAAATAATTTTTGGCAGCATAGTATTTCAAGAGATAACTGACAGATACATGGGGGAAGTTACACTCATAGTAAAGTGCTGTTTGCTTCAAAAGCCAGTTCAGACAGCCATGTGAGCTACTCATATATGGGAGGGAGGGAGGGAGGGAGGGGGGGGGGGAGGGAGGGAGGGAGGGAGGGAGGGAGGGAGGGAGGGAGGGATTCAAGTGAGTGACACTGGTTGTTCATGTATCTTTTAAGGTATATTATTGATGTGAATTTTAAAACCACGGAACAGTTTTTAGATAGCACTGATGCAATAAAATATTCAAGGGGAATCTCAATTTTTTAATCTTATCATTGGCATTCCATTTACTGAAAAGTTGACTTATTTGTGACAAATATCTAAGTAAAAAGTACTTTTGAACTGTGTGATTTACCTGCCTGACTACATCATTTTGTTTATGACCAACTTCATTATCTGTTAAAGGTAGTATCCTCTCCAATAGCTCTCTTTTATGATCTAGAATGTAGTTGCTTTGGTGCTCCGAAAAAACCCATAAATAAAACAATGGTCATTTTTCTTATCAAATCCTGTTTTAACAAATGCTTTTATAATTTAAATTTATCTATACTCTAAGAAAGCAAGCTATTCAGAATGACAAGAACTTTACAAACCATGGGAGTAACTGCATGGGAATAACTACAGTTTCTGTATGTAAACATATTGTCTCCCGATATTTTTTTAAAACTTCCTCTAAATGTTGATTTTCCAAACATTTTGATTGATTTAACCACCGCACAGAAGACACCTGTACCTGGTTAAATATAATTACTGTTGCTTTCCAGTTATGTCATAGAATCACAGAATATTCTGAATGGGAAGGTGTTACACTATATTGGGAACGGTGAGGTAGTAACGACACTGACTCTCTTGTGAGTTAAACAGGAGAGTAAGGGTTATCACCCCAAATCTTCTTTTATAGACAAGTGCATGAAGATCTGGAAAGATAACACTCTTACTGGTCAGTAAACTAAGACATTACCATCATTGGTCAGTGTGGTACACCACCCCTCGACCTTCTCTTGCAAGAAAACAAGAAAGTGACAAACAACATCTGCAAGGCTGTTTTCTATCTCTAAGGGTTATTTTGATTCCTCCTTGTATTTTCCCAGGCTACTTTCTCAGGCTAGTCTGAGAAAGTTATGTGACTTGCTTTTCCATAGACACTGGGCTCCCTGCTTGCTGATTGCATTTAGCATCTACAGGAAGGCACCCAGAAGGGTCATGAAGTCCAACTCTTGGCCTTGCACAGGACATCCCAAAGAGTCACATCATGTGCCCAAAAACATTGCCAAATGCATCTTGAACTCTGTCCAGTTTGGTGCTGTGACCACTTCCATGGGGAGCCTGTTCTAGTGCCCAACCACCCTCTGGGTGAAGAACCTTTTCCTGATATCCAACCTAAGCCTCCCATGGCACAACTTCAGGGCATTCCCTCATCAAAAGTAAGGTGGAAATGACTGTACTCATCAGAAATATTTGTGCAAAAATGTATCCTTTCCCTGGGTTATACATTCTGCTTGAAATTTTCTACACATGGCACACTCTCAGCTACATGTTTCCTAGAAGTACTTGACTAATCACATTCTCAGTAGTGTAAGACTACGTAAGAGGAAAGTAATTTTCCCTCAGAAGAACTGATTCTCAAACATGATGAAATCCTGGAATTCTGCATTTCTTACCTAGTGGTTTTTACTCTGAAATACATACTAATCTTCATGGATGTGAATACTATTTCAGAAAAAACTTACATTAATATAGTATTAACTGTACTTACTAGTCATTAGAAATAAACCAAAATTTTTCAAAAGTTGAAATTAACCTCAGAACGCAAAGCTAGGGTGTGCAGAAGTAAGGTTAAATGCTAAAGACATCCAAGTTTGCTAAGATATGGAAAACTTCAGAAAGATGCTGTGCATTAACTAACTGTTTAGGGACCAGGCATTTTAGTGTTGGCGGTTTCAAAAATAAACTGATTGTAAAAAAATGGTTTAATTTACCACTCTTCCCTAAAGGCTAAACTGTGAAACTGTTCCGTAAAATGCATTTAAACATCACCATTAACTACTATACCAGTGTCTCTTGCTGAAGTTCCCTTAACATTCCAGACTTAATGTCTATGTCAATTATACATAATTAACACAAAACAGTAATGATTAACCCTTTTTCTCTTTAAAACAAAATGTAATGGCCCAAGGTGGATAATAGATAATGATATGTGAAAAGCATGAGGTTCAAAATCCCTTTCCAGCCAGACCACAAGCAACAATAGGAAGGTTTTCAACATCACAAAACCATTTGTTCCTTCTCAGCCCTGGAACCAGAAACTTTAAAAAAAGTACATTTTTTTTAGAACTAAAAGAGCTGAAAAATAATTTCCAAAATTTCTAACTTTTATTGGTTGTACCTCACCTCTTTCAGAAATTTTCAAATATGAATTCACAAAAATAATTACATTTGACTCTATATTAACAATATAAATAAAAAAATTAAAAAATATACATCTAAGATACTCTTGAAATTCAGTAACAGACACCTAGCATGCTGTAAATCATCAGACAAATATAGAATCACAGAAATACTCTCAGAAAAGCATAATTTGGTGCAATGTGTTTATACTATGTCAGCTAGCAGACTTTCCCCTCCTAATGTTTTCCTATCATCTCCATCCTGCAACCATTTACCAGCGTTCTGTGAATGGGAAAAGTCTAGAAAGTGTATATGGAAGGTGCAGTAGTTCACCATATTTAAAGTGTATGGGAACATGCTATAGATCCGGTGAAATCTTAAAGCCACTGAAACAAATAAACATTTCCATGGATAATAGTAAAATCAAGGTATCAGGCAATGTTGAAATTATGTTTCCAAAAATCACTTATGAACTTTGATATAGTGCAGGTTTACTGTTAAAAGTAGGCTTGCATTAAAAATGCATCATTTAAAAAGAAAGCATTCTTTCTCCATAGCAAATCTGTTGACTTCTAATTTAATTCAGTGCTTCCCTGCTTTAGCATAATAAGGAAGCGTATCAACGCTGCATTTTTGGTGTTAGAAGAAAATTCTTACTGAGGTTATGTTTTACAAGATTTTGTAATGTTTGACCAGTTTTTATTCCTAGCTCCACTCCATGCAAAATGTGACTTATTAAGGCCAATGAGGCTTTATGTGGTAATGAGAAACGTAACACTGGTGCTTTAGAAACTGTGTATACCATGTGAACTAACAGTGTCCTTAAGCAAATTTGTCCTGTGAGACTGAAAAGCAGAACCAGCCCCACTGGGATCACTGTTACAGTAATAGCACTGGTATCTGAGTAATATCATCTGACTACTGTGGTGTGGAATAGGTAATGCTTATAGTAAAAGTTTATCGTGTGTCTTAATGCAGTACAAAAAACTTTAATGCCTAACATAAACAGGCAGTGAAAAAAAAAGACAATCCTTAAATTAAACTTGTGCAAAAGATCTCAACACATTCCTATGAATTGATGAGACATTACAAGTATGACAGATTTAGTACCATTGGCCTACCGAGCCCATTATCTTTCAACCCACTGCAAAGTGTACACCCATAAAAGGAGGATCCAGCCAAAGGATATGTGTTGAGGACATACCACATCGTGTCATGTGAAGTCCAGGGGCACTCAGCAAGGAGTGTTCCATCCAGTGTGACCTTCAGCACAGGTTCTCACAAGAAAGCACAACTCCCTTAAGCTGTGCAATGCACGGTCACCACATGACCCCACATTTCAGGCACACCTGGTTGACTGATCAAGTTAATAACCTGTACCTAAAATCTGAGATTCCAGCCTGGAAAACGGGTCATGTTGCATCTAAGACAGCTGCATCATATCAAGGAATGCAAGACAGGGCCAAGGGAGACAAAGTGTCTAAGACTTGACAGGGATACAGTGTTTACAGGGACTGCAGATTACATTTTCCTACATTAAGTAAAAGAATATGTATATTTATATACATAAAACAGATGGTAATATACTTGGCTGAAGAAACATTGTGTGAATGAGTTACAATTAAGCCCTCTCCTCACCATCTGTTTTTTAACCCAATAAACTACATCCAGGTTTGCAAATAATCTGCTCTACATGAAAACAAGAAATAAAGAGTAACATTAGAGCTTTATCTTTTGTTTACCTCCCACCTGATAAACTCTGAATGGGTCTGTTCCCTGCCTTTGATTGTTTTGTCCTCATATTTCCTGCTAGGAGTTTACAAAACAGCATTATCGAACAGGCAGATAAGAAGCACACCTATTTGTTTAATAACATCAAGGGAGAAAAAATGCTGGCTCATCCATTTTGTTGTTCAGTTGCTCAAAAGGATCAAAATACCAATTAACTTGCTGGCTTAAAAAAAATCTTTGATATCCTTACATTCACTGACATTTTGAAACTCTTCTTCATACTTGCCTAATGTCTTTTTGATTATGAACAAAGAAGTGGCAATCTGTTTAGCATTTGACCTGTTTTCTCAAACATTTTTATGTATTCAACTACTTAGTTCCTAAAAACACTTGACTAGACTTAGCTGTAAGTTGAAGAAAAATGTTTCTTGTTCCACTGATAGCTTTATAAAGTATTACTTGATTTTATTTGCAAGAGCAAAAGAGAATAGAATTTGTTTTAAAACAAAGCATGAGCTGAACAAAGGATCAAGAACATCTCTCCCGCCCCCGCTTATATTCTGAACTCAGAAGTCTTCTTTGCTGTTGTGTAAATTGCTACATGTACTTCCCTCTCCTTCCCTTTTTGTGTTGACTTTTTTTCCTTAACAAATTACATCAATAATGTAATGTGCTTTAGTCCATCAAGTTGGACTAGAAACTTGGGGAGTTATTGACAAGATATTAACCACAACTTGCTCTTATCTGCATGAATGGAAAGCTACAGTCAGTGCTGTTTTTATTACCATTAGTTTTCAAGACCGTACTCAAATTCAGTGCATTTTTGAATGAAAAGGAAGTCCTGATAAGAGAAGGCTTAATTTCCTCTCAATTTACACTAATTTCTGTGGAGTTAATCTTAGTTCACTTATGTGTAAATTGAATAAAAGTTGAGGTTAATAATTCTGCTTTCGGCTGCTCTGGGATATTGCAAAGATATATTAACGATCACAAAAATTAATCTGTTAAATGTGCTCTAGAATGGTGTGACCTTACTAAATTATTCATTATAACACAAAAAAAGTTGGTATTGATCATGTCTGAAAATTGAATTGCCTTGATGGACAAATAAACATGTTAGTTATCCTTCCTGGGATATATAATCTGTAGTGTTTTCCTATTTCATATTCATTTGGTGTATTTCTATAAATCAGAAAAATTAGTAATTTTTCAGAATGAATTGATTAAACTCTGGTTCATCAGTCAAGATATCTGAATGCATGGACTGCAGATTTCCAAGCCCAAGTGACTGGTTTACAAGCATAAATCTATGCCATCTCCAGATTTTAGAAAGGACTGCAAAATGGTTTTCCCTTTAGCATCATATCACAGAATATGCCGAGTTGGAAGGAACCCACAAGAATCATAAATTTCAACTCCTGGCCCTCCAGAGTACCATCCTCAAGAGTCACACCATGTGCCTGAGAGCACTGTCCAAATGCTTCTTCTTGAACTCTTGTCAGGCTTGGTGTTGTGACCACTTCCATGTGGAGCCTGTTTCAGTGCCTGACCACCCTTCGGGTGAAGAATCTTTTCCTGATAACCAACCCCAATTTCCCCTAACAAACCCTTAGGCCATTCCCTTGGGTCCTGTCACTGATCATCAGAGAGAAGAGATTAGTTTCTGCCCCTCCTCCTCCCCTCCCAAGGAAGTTGTGACTGTAGTGAGGTCTCCCCTCAGTCTCCTCCAGACTGAAAGACCAAGTGACCTCAGCTGCTCCTCACACTGCTCCTTCTCAAGGCCCTTCACCATCTTTACGTGCTTCTTTGGACACTTCTCCATAGTTTTAATGCCTTATATTGTGGTGGCCAAAACTGCACGTAATAGTCAAGGTGAGGCTGCCCCAGAGCAGAGCAGAGCAGAGCGGGCCAAGCCCTCCCTTGCCCAGCTGTAATGCTGTGCCTGCTGGCCCCCATGACACAGCTGGCCCTCCTGGCTGCCAGGGCTGCTGACTCACATTCAACTCCCCAGTGACCAGGACACCCAGGTCCCTCTCTGTGGCACTGCTCTCCAGCACCTCATTCCCTGGTCTGTCTGTACATCCAGGCTTGCCCAATCCCAGGTGCAGAACCTGGCACTTTCCCTTGCTGAACTTCCTATGGTTGGTGTTGCCCAGCCCTCTAATTTGGTGAGGGCTCTCTGCAGTCCCTTCCTGACTTCAAGGAGTCAACAGCTCCTCCCAGTTTTGCATCATCTGTGAACTTGCTTAGTATCACTTCCAGCCTGCATCCAAGGCATCTGTGAGGATGTTGAGGAGCACAGGGCTGAGGATGGAACCCTGTGGAATCCTGTGAGTGACTGGACACCAGTCTGATGTCACCCCATTCACTATAACCCTTTTCTGCCCAAACTGGGAGCCAGATGCTCACCCACTACAATGACGTGTTTATTTGGTCCTGAATGATCCTGTGAGAGACAGTACCAACAGCTTCACTGAAATCCATGAAGATTACATCAACTGGCTTCCCTTGATCAGCTAGGTAGGCTACTGTGTCAAAAGGAAATCAGGTTTGATAAGCAAGACCTTCCTGTCATGAAGCTCTGCTGGCTGTGACCAGTGACTGCGTTGTCTTTCAGGTGTTTTTCAATACCTCCCAGAATAATCTTCTCCATAACTTTACCAGGCATTGAAGTGAGACTAATGACTTGCTTTCAGTAGATTCACTAATTCTATATTGTCTGGATAAACAACCTTCAGTTCAAGAAATATCAGACCATGGTTGATTTAGCCATTCACTACTTGTTCCTACTACTGCCTAAATGGTTAATGGTTGTGCTGCTGCTCATTGTTGAATTGCCAATCCTACACACTGAAAAACAGTAAATACTACACAAACCCACATTTAAAACACAGAGGAAAACATAATTATCATGTAGCCATACTGCCATCATAAAGACAATAGCATTTCCTGACTAAAATTTATAACTTTTTGAGATTGAGAATATATATTAAAGCCAGTAATAGCAGCCAATGAGAAGTGTTACGGTGAACAGAGATTTAATTATAATTCATGATATCTCTAAGATAAATGACTCTGCAAAGCTAAATCTGAAGCTTTTCTATAAATTCATTCTTAAATATGTGCACATTCTTCATATGATGGCTGAAGGTCACCGACTTTCCAAAATCCTTGAATTGTATGAGCAGGATGTATAATTTCTACTTGTTGCCTCTACAGATGGAACAGGTTTGCTACTTGAGTTCACTGCAGGTTTCACACTGACTGTTTTCCATTAGAGATCAGACACCTCTTGTAGTCTTTATCTCTGAAAGTCTCTGTCCTCATTAGAGATTCAGACCACACACCTATGAACAACATTTGTGGAACTTTCTGTACTTAAACACAGAATATCTCTTACTGAATACAGTATTAGAAAAACAGCACTATTATACAAGTCCTACCTTTTTACAAACTCTTCAAAGAGGATGCGATGAGAATACCCTTTTTGACGTATTTTGACAGTTTCCAGAATTCCAGTGTATCGTAGCTGCAGCAGAACTCTCTCATGAGAAAACATCAGTGCTTCTCGATCATCGTTAGGTTTAATGCAGCGGATAAAGTGAGGCTGTCCAACAACCATTTTGGATAAAAGATCCATGAGGGAATACTAGTAACGAAAATAAAGAAGATGCACATACTTGACAAAAAACTGCAATGGAACTACTTATGCAGGAGATTCATATTTGTAAACAGTTTGTAATGCTTGATTATATTTTAATCTGTAATGTTAACCTCCACTGCTTTTTAGTAATTTTTAAGATTTCAGCTGAAACATGGAACCTATTAAAATTTTTCAGTTGTTAAAAAAAATTTAAATATTCTGAATCTGATTTCTTACTTATTACTCCTTTTCTCCTTATATCACATTTCCATAGTTGAAGAATGCCCATTAAAAAAAAAAATTAAAATTGTCATAACTATAATTCTACTGTAGACACATTTGACTGATCAAACATCCCCAACAGAAACACAAGCTTTAGCATGAAACAAACACTGAAATTCATGGCAAATCATGGTGAAAAGGCTGCAAGAAGTCATTTGCTCTGTCCACAGAGAATACTAGATGTATCTTTAACATTTCAGGTACATCTCTGTTACATTAATTTTTCAGAATCACTGAGAATATAAACTGCACGGTCTCCCTAGAAATCTGCTATATTATCATGACTATTCATAAAGTTCTTAGCATCTAACATAAATCTTGCCACTGAAATGTAGATCCATTACTACTTTTCCTATCCAGGCTAGACACACGGAACTACTTCTTCCATTTCATTTTAAACTAAAATGAAAAATATTTGATCAGATCATATATATCTTTTTTCCACTGGCTCCTCTAAATACTGATATTCCTGCTCTATACTCACCTTATTAAGCTGTTCTATGATAAGGATATGTTGTCAACTACATTCAATCTCATATACCCATATGTGTCTCAAAATCACATCCAATTCCAAGCTGATTGTCATCACCTTGCTGCAGGTTGCACATGTATTACAGTCTACTTCCACACTCACTCCCCCATTGTACCTTTTTTCTTTTTACAATTCCAACAGAACTAGTATTTGTGTGGTTCTGTGCAAGAGCACTCTAAGTGTACACCTGTATGACAAGTCTGAATGCCTGTCCTTGCACTCTCCACACTAGGGCAACATTGCAGTATACAGCAGCTTCCTCTATACCCCTCCTTACACTATTCTACAAAACAAATTGAACAGGTGTTCCCACACAGCTTGAAGTTTTGACTCACATTGGCTAGCACAACTCTGTGAACTTTCTCATTCTGCATGGTACAAATGCAGCCTAAGAGACAACTACTGATAACTTTTCCACTTTGAAATGACTGCAAGAAAAAAAAAACAACCAGTAACCAGGAGTCTTGGACCAGCACTTTCTTGACTCCTAAGCTTCCAGTTCCAAAATCCTCAATGCCTATTCCCTGTCTGTTTGATTTAAACACACATGCAGAATATGCATTACTTCAGACACTTCAGATTACTACTGATAAAATGGCAATCTGTACTATTTACAACATTATTTCCAAAAGATGGATTATTATTACTTATTAGCATAAATAAAAAAAATCTTAATCTTTAAAGGCATGTATGCCTCACCTTGTGAAAAAATATGAAGACTTTAGTGATCTATTTTATTGTAAAAAAATTAGTGTTCTGTTTATAATGAGACCTGTTCTAGACCTCTAGCATTTTAGACAGAAAATAGTCTAGGCTCTAGATTCTGTTATCAGCGTATTCAATGAAATTAGAAAAATGAAAGTATGAGGAAAAGAGAAAAAAGCAAAAAAAAGTTTATGAATCTACAAAGGACTTGTAACAGAATAAAAAAAATTCTCTTATATTTCTCTTTGATCCTACTATCCCACAAATATTTTAGATATATCTATTGTTCTTATTATTAAAATGCTTGTTTTCATTTTAATTTTTGTACCCTAAAATAGGAAGCCATAGTTTGCCGCTTCATGTTAGTTGTTTCCTCAGGATGCCGCATGACCTCCATTGTGTCAACCTGGAAGACAAAACTCTGTTAGGACTGTTCCAGAAACACTGCAGACCCACCCCACCTTGCCTATGAAAGGCATGGGTTCTGAACCATGGGTTCAGTTTTTGCTATAGTCATTCCTTCAGGTGTGAGTACTTCAGAGTACTTTGCCAGAGATAGCAAGGCCAGCTTCTAACAGATGCAGGACACATATTGATTTCAAAGAGGTCTCTAGGCATTTTGAATTTTTTTCATAGTGTAAAAGCACTCTAGATTTATGATAGTATAATACTCAGCCAGTGAAATAGCTGTCAAGTTGCAATACCTTAGGAACTGATTTCTAGAAAGTATTCCTCTTATTGCCGCTATACTGAACTCCAACAGGACTTGTAACTATAAGAAGAGTTACCATATTTGTAATAGCCAGAAAATAAACTGAACTGCTTCATTTTGCTCATGTATGGAAAAAATACTGTAGGATAATGAGTGGCAAACAAAGTCAGTAGTCTCAGAACACGTTCCCTTTTCCTAATATAGTTACTATTACTTACTTTGTATTGCCAAGAATCTCAGCAATCTTATTCTGATGAACCACCATAGCATACCACTTTTTCAGCATTGTAGAGAGTTATTTTTAGAGGGTATACATGGACAGTGAACATACTGCTCCTTGTAGATTTTAGTTATATTGTTAGTACAGCTGTTCTTATCAAAATGAAACCAGAATTTATGAATGAGTATAACTGTGGTTACCCATAACAAGCAGATTGCGTTGCTGCATTACAGCTCAACAAAATTAAAGAAAATTAACCAGCATCCTGTTTGCACAGAGCATTAACAGAATTTTAGCATTCACTTGCTTTGTGGTAGTTTACCATCTGCTTTGGCCAGGTGGCACTTGTATAAAGCAGATAATGCTGTTGTCAGCACCTGTGCTACACTTCCCGGACTTTGCTCCACAGAATGATTTCCAACACTCATTGACTTAAGAACACTCTTCTGGACACTAAAATACTTGCTGAAAGATTACAGTTCTCAATAAAGTAACTGAGACTCTTACCTTCAGGAGGTATTTAGGAGACTGCATGCAAAATATAAAGGAAATGAAGCACTAAGTAATAATAGATCAAAAAAATTGATTTTGTGTTGGGGAAGAACTCAAATCTAGTGAGGTCAAGATTCAGAACACAGATGGCGCAAATGAAGACAGAGTTCAATAAGGGTAACCATAAAAAATTCAATATGTTTTTGTAATCTGTGGTGTTCTGGCCCAGAGTGGCACACATGCATTGGTATACATCTCAAACTAACACAGGAGAAGAAGAATAGAAAAGGAATTAAAAAAGAGAGATGCAGTTTGTTAAAAGAACACTCTGTAAAATATTCCAGGAAAAATGCATTATCAGTACAGGTAACATCAAACATCTTAAGAGGTTATGTGACAAAGTAAATATCAATGCCCTAATCAAATAGCAGGCATGTCCATGGGGAAGGATGTGGGAAAGCTTCAAGATAATCTTGACAAGACATCTAGTTTCTGAGGATTGTTATCTAAATCTCTAGTAAATGTCAGATAGAAGACAAAAGCCATAACAGTGAGTGCTGACAGTAAGTTCAGCATAACTGGTAATATTTAATTTTAAAAGACACACAATTTAATTATAAATAAGATCAAATCAAGAACAAAAGCAAATAGTTTGAGGACTGATCTGAGCCCAAATGCCAATGAATTTGAGGTTCTAAATAGGATTCTTCTCTGTCTTGAAAAGCAGAGACTCAGTGATATTGTTGTTGGAGACTGACCACTCACAATCTCTCATACTCATATCTCATGTATCTACTGGTCAGTAAAGGGCAGTATCATCTCTTTTTCACTGCTGCTTATTTTCACCAAAACTGTAGAATGTTACCATCTTGGGACTGCTGCTCTATCAAATATGGTTTACAAGAGGCTGCTGTGTTCAAAATAGTTTTATTTTGGTTTGAGGCTTTTTTAGGGCAGCAAAGGGAATGAACACACAGAAAGACAGATGGTCAGAAACACTCACAGAGGAGATGTAAAACACTTTTTCTCAGAAAATTAGGCTGAAAGCAGTATTGTTGGATTTCTTTTCCTATGAATGAAGTCGTAAATTCAGATCTGTGCAATATGTAAGAACTAGAATCAATTTCAGAATCTTTTTGACAATAGACCCTGAAGCTGAGGGGGTTTTCTTGTATGAGCTTTTAAGAAGTTTTGTCTCTCCTTACTGTATAACATTGCTTGTCTATGAAGCCACACAATTTTATGGTAGGGCAACAACGTCATGTACAACAGACAATAGGCTTTCTCACAACTCACAACATTGCTAGAAAATGACAGAACATTAAAAGAATGTCATGATACCTTGTATTTTAAATCACTAGCTACTCTTTTTAAACAAAAATGAAGATATTTCAACTACTAAGTCACATTTTTACATGACAGCTATAGTGACCTACAATATGAATTTATATAATTACAACTGTAATGGAAAACAGCTTGACCTACAAAAGTCAAACTGTTTCATCACTAAAAAGACTCCTTTTAATAGTTTTGAAACAATTAAAAGAACGATTTATGACATCATGTCACCTTATGAAGACACTTGAAATTATAACTTTCCACATATTGACCACACCTGCTGCTGGCATGCTATGAAATACTGTAAAACCAAAAAATATGTTAAGCAAAAATCCCTCTTAAAATAATTAATGATAAAAAATTTCCAAACTTCCAAACAAAATTATTACATTTGGATTTTTTAAAACAAATTTTAAGATAATAATTTAAAATATGTTTCCTGAAGTTATTTTAATTAGGTGCTTTACAAAATTCTAATAAAGTTTTTTATCTAAAAATTATTTAAATTAACATTTTCTAAATAGCGTTGCATATCTTTTCTTTTAGCTCCCTTTATAAAGTTTGAAGGGTGAGTAAAGCCCACTTAAACAGTACTTATTAACCGATTGTGCTTGGTAAAGCTCTAGACATGAGCTGCTCTATTACAATCCTGCTGTATCAATAAAATGCATGCTTAGAAAGCTTGTGCTGAATATAGCTGGATGTGGAAGACAATGTGTATGTAACACAAGAAAACTGGAAAGGCCACCCTTCAGCACTGAAAGTATTTACATCAGACAGGAAATAATAGTCTGAAATCCACATCTGTATTTGCAGGTACAGTGAAGGATACAGACATCTGGATGACGTAAATCACCACAGTGATGTTTGAGCATGAACTCCAAATACCAGAAGATAACAAGAAATAGAAAACCCAAACCATGAAATTCTGTAGGTTCTGAACAGTTGCTGTTATCACACTTGCTTTAAAAATTTATTACTGTTTGTTTTGAAGAAAACCCAAACTCCCAAACCGTAACTAAGCTAACTCTAACAAGTACCACTTAGGAAGCAGGGAGGGGGATGTACATACCATCAGCTTCAAGGGATAACAAGTTTCTTCACAATTTAAGTGTACTCAGTTGTAATCCTACTAATTGCCATAAAATTATCCCATCTTTTTGCAGTTAGGTCACATACTTTTGTGGAAAAATTCAGCAGCATTTAAATTCTACAGTTCTTGATACAGAATAGTGTTTTTGCTCAGTCATTCTTTTCCAGTTGTCTACCAGTCACAAACATCTACTGGTTTTTCACTTCCAAGTTGAATAAAAAAGAAATAGATTTTTTTAAAAAAAAATGTATTTTGCCTTGCATACTGTTAAAATACACTATTCAAATTTTACCTAGTAAGACCTCTTTCTAGGTCAAAATTGTCAGAGGAAAACCTTGACCCCTTTGAAATAAAGAGGACTGTTGATATGATGTAACAGATTTCTCTCCAAAGGTTTAAAGATTAATCAGTAGTAAATTGATTCTTCACTGAATTCTACAATAGGTTCATCACTAATACTGGAAACCATGCTCCAGGACAAGGTGCACATTACTGATAGTAAAGGCAGACTCTTATTTGGTAAGACTACTCTTCGGTAAGACTCACTCTACACCAACATCAGCTACGTATTGTGTACACAGTCTCACTGTGCTATTTTATAAACAACTGCCTGTCCTCAAAGGGAACACTACTAACCTTGATACGCCCAGCACTGAGCTGCGGAGGCAAAGACCGAGATGCTGCTGTCACTCTCGCTCTTGCTTGTGCTAAATTACCTGTTCAAAAAGAAAGAAAATCAGACTTCAAAAACTATTTAAGAAGCTTAAAAGGGAAAATTTGTACTGTGTAAGATCAGTTTGTACAATAGTACTAAAAATAGCAGACACCACCACACTTCTTCCACACCCCTCTCATTACCAATTGTGCCTGCAAAGCATTCAGCACAGGCATGACAGAGTGCAGTGTTGATTTAGAGGGGAGGAAAAAGTCAGTGATAAGGTGGTATGTCACTGACCTTAGCTACTGAGGTGACGAAAACAACGACAGCACAAAGGCATACAGCTCAATCACTAGTAATCAATTTCTCTGTGACTCACTGAGAGATTTGAAAGTGCAAAAAGACTCCAGAATCAATCTTGTTTCTGTGAAATCACATGGATCCTCAAGCGTTAATACAGCATCTTAAACTTACAAACTAATGAAAGAGATGAGAAAATAATAAGACAGCACCATTTTTTGACCATTTGACATTTAATTCTCTATCTTATTGTAACTCAGAATTTTTCAAGACTGACTCAATTTCCCAGGCAAAAATATATTGTGGTGTCAAGCAAAAGACTAGTGCCTTTTTAAAAATGTAAGGTATGATGTGTCCTAAACTTTTTCTTCTGTACTTGTCGAGAGCCAAAGTCATCACAAAGTAACTTTTCAAAATAAAGCCTAGGAGAAGAGAGAGGAACTGATATCGGACTTGCATATGCAAGACACTCTGTATATTTCAAAGTTTTAGCAAGTCTAGCACAAGATGTCCAAATGTTTTCTCTGGCTATATCTTCAGAGGCTAAACTGTGATTAATAGCATTGAAAGAACCCTTTGAAGCTGGATTGGTGACATCAAAGCCCTAATCCATGGGTGGCAGGATTTTTATAATGAGTGGGAAGCATTTTAACACATTTCAAAGGATTTACAGCATGAATAAACAATAGGCCTCTGCAGATGTACCACACACCTTTCAGAACCAGAACACATAAATAAGTGTCTATTTTAATTTAAATGTAAATAAAGTGTTAACACTTCTTTCAGATGCTAAATGACTTGTTTGCATCAACTCCAGTGTTTAGCTGTTAGCTTTACAGAAAGGCAGTAACTCGAAACAGTCTTCAGAGTTTTGCTAAATTGTGTATTACATAACTAGTAAGGAGGCACGATGGGAAAAACGAAAACCAAGAACACCAAATTGCTGGTAAAGAAACCCAAATGCTGATAATATTTCCCTAAAAAAGTACAGAAAATCCAGTGTCCACTGTAACACTGAAAGGAACTTCTGCTTTTACTTTACTCTGAACAAGAAAAATACCAAACCCCCTGAAATAATCTGGGGGCCAGAACTCAAACACAGCACTCCTTGTTCAAACATTCTAATTAATTTAAAGAAGTATTTATCTTTTAAGCTGCTGGCACTGGTATTGAAACAATACTGCAAAACCAGCATGTCACTTCCAGATCTAACATTGTACATTATTTGAGTTTAAATCATGTCCCAGAACACAAAGTATGTCCGCTATTTTGTTAACTGTTTTAGGCTATTATACTCTGTATGTTAATGAGAACCACAACTGTTTGGGAAACCTTGAATATCTATGCACATGCAAGGTACATTCTGTAAATACATGTATCTCTCCAAAGTTAAAATGAGGACTTTAATGAACAAGTAGATGGTGAAATAATTTTTCTTCCAGTTGCAATTTTGGTATTTTTGTATTTTAGAAGTTATCCTTTTGGGCCTATTTTGGCTAAAATAGCCTGGAAAGGTTGTTTTTGGCTAGGTTTCAGATTAGCAAGTCTAAAGCTTGAAAGCCTTGCACTGAAGAACTGACAACACATGATAAAAGAGGGGAGTTGAGAGAAGAAAGGACTTTGAATCAGACTGTTTAAAATTATTAAAATTTTGTTGCATTTTGTAACAACTCCAAAAATGAAATAAAATTTAGAATGATTCTATAGCAGCTCCAGGTTCACTACACTCAATGCTGGCATTAGGTTTCTATGGTTCATAATTAATATCCCTGAAGTCTCCCTTAGTTTCTCATGCAAAACTAAAACTAAACGTTTCTGATCTGGCAAGCCAAGCAAATAAACAAACCTTTTAATTAATCACAAATCTTTAATGATTTCACAAATGAAAAAAAAAAAAACAAACCCAAAGTGTTCAGTGTCCACTTAAAAAAAAGAAATGCTTTACTTATTGTGCCTTTGTTCTGTAGTTACTTGCTTCTAGGAATGGATTCTTACCAGTGCTTATTTCATGTGTCAAATGAATTCCTATGTAATTACTTGTAGCATTAGATTGAATCCATGGAAAAAATATTACTAGGATTTTCTTTTTAAGCTGAAACACAAAAGGATACTTCAATAAAAGTTTCTGAATTACTCATCTTGTGTGGCTCATGCTCAGGAAAAATAACTACCAATCTTTAACATGTCTATGCCATTAAAACTAACAAACAGAATAAATGTGGTTTGAAAATCAGTCCACATAATGAGAAATATTTCACCCAGGGTTAGCATGGTGTTCATAGTCAGTAAAATTTGGTACCTATCTCTGCATTTGATTTTCATTTACAAGGTAATTTATACCTTAACACATCAAAAATAATTAAATGTTAATCCTCTTCGTGAAAAGCATTAAATATTTGAAAAATGAATGTTTATAGATAATAACATAGGCAGCTTGAACTGCAAAGGGTTCCTTGAAAGGTTAAACTAGTTAAAGTTTGAAAGATTGCACTGTGCTCTTCAGAAGTCTAGCTTCACACCAATTATATGGTCAAAACTTCAGACAATACAAATGACACCCCTGTAGACTAAATGCTACCTACATTCAATCAAAGTCCATAAAATGGACCAACTAACTCATATAAAACCCTCTCAAAATTATCTTAGGTTTTTGGGATTTAGTTTTTGGTGGGTTATTTTTTTTTGTTTTGTTATTTGTTTGTTTGGGTTTTGTTGTTGTTTTTTAGGGACAGGAAAGAAGTTAATGATTAAAGTTAGGATTAATCTTTTAAACACCTACATGTTTAATTTTACTCACATGCACTTCACTAGGACAGCTCATCTGAACAATTAAGGCTCCTACCTATGCACCTGGATCAGAGACTAAGGTCTCTGGGATTCATTGTGTCAGTGGAGGAGTCTGTCAGACCTAATGTTTCTCTTTTTCCCTCTGTTCAATAAAGTTAAGAATGAAGTTTATGCATTCTCTTTAATGCTTTGAGAAGTTATTAAACATTAAAGTTTGGGAAATGGTCTTAGAGTTTTCAAGGGAAAAAGAAGTAGCAGCACAAAATCTATGCACTCACTGGCTAAGCTCAGAGTCAAGGCTTAGCAAACCTCCCTTTGTCTTGAAGCTGTTTAGATCTCCCATCTCTGCAAAAATGTTCTTTGCCGATTCCTCATTTCAGCTAGGTGAGAAAGACCATATTGTCAAAAAACTGCATCTCTTCTATTATGCAATGCCAAGCAGAAGTTTTGAAAGCATTTACATCACACATAAAGAAGAAAGTGGGTTTTTTTTTCAAGTTGGACTTTGGAAGGGGTCTCCAGATCTCAAAAAGGACTATTCAGCATTCCTGGCTTCTCATTTGCATCCCTGGTAGTTACTCACTATGTGATTTGGCTGAATTAATGATTTGTCCAGCTTTGTGTTGACTTTATGTACTAATTAGGAAAAAGTACACACTCTGTTTGGATATCCTGATATTACCTATGGTTTGTGCTTCATTTATTCTTAGGTATTGGGTTCTGTAAGCAGTACCAAGCAAATATTAGCAATATCAGCACTGTATTTATAACCTTGGTTTGATTATGCCTGCAGTAGATCACTCCTTCCAAAGTAAGAGCATGCCAGGTAAGAAATATGTTAAGCTTTGACACAACATTCAGTTTGTGAAGTGCAAATGACTTACTGAGCAGAAGTCTAATGACAATGTCACCTTATTGAACATGTCGTACCAGGGACAGTACTATTATATAGAGGACAAGTACAAGCTCTTTCCTTATCCTCATATATTTTATTAATTTCTTTCATGCTTCTGGTTCAGATAAAGAGGGGTTACTTCAAACACCATATAGATACAGTATAATATGTTCAGGAATGTTACAATCCATTCATATTTCATTGACATTACTTCTAATCACAGCTATGCACTCATACTCCAGAAGAGGTACATGGCCAGACAATGTCTTTGACATACACAGATTCTTCTCTGTCTTTTCTTTCAGTACATTTTATCTGGCCAAAGGAATTTGACTGCTTATCTCCATAATGCATTTTCATCTTCTGCTACCGTAAGACTGAGCTTTTAGCTCAACTACTAATGAATACATGTACTTTTTTTATTGGGTACTAATTTGAATCTGGTCACTGACTATCAAAACTCTGTTCTTTTGAGTTATTGAGAGTCATTGAAGTCATTTAAGCTAATCTTATGCAACAGAAAGAGCTAAGAATCCAATTCTCTCATATACTACACATTTTACACAAGAATCAATTTATAAAAATACTGTCTATAGAGCACAACTATCAATACAGATAGACTTCAACTACTGCTTCTTCTGAAAAGACAATTACTTTACTTTCTATTAATAAAAACCCCAAGAAATACTATTTCCAAAATCAGATATACCAAACAGAATCTAATCAGCATAAAAGCTTAGTAATAGTGAAGCCCACCTGGGAATAATCTAATTACGAATATTTGCTTCAGGAGCTAAAATACGCATCCTTCTGGCCCAGATGATTTGAAATGAAAAGTCTGTACCATACTGAACTGAGGAATTCTGATACTGATTCTCAATTAGATTAAGGATTTCTTTAGTCTTTTTAGCATGAAGTAGACACCAAAAATATTTGCAGATACTTAAAAGTTTACGTTGCTAGACTGGGATTGGAGAACCTAAGTTCAGTGCTGTTACACTTCTATTGCATACACTGCAGACACTTTAGTGGTCACTTCCCACATTAGGAGGGCACACACTGGCAAACACAGCATC